TTGTTCATATTCCATGAATTTAGTTCTTCGATTTTAAAATCTATTAACTGTATTATCTTTATTGTTAATAAGTGATCATCTTATTGTTCATAATTTAGTTTTGGGTACTTGACTATAATTGATCGTAGATCGATTAGATTAGAAAACTAACAAAATTTTCTTTCTCTTCCATTCGGCTCACAATGACCTTAACCCTGAGGGTGAATGGATGTTCTTTTCTTTTCTTCTTGTCATTAGTTGTAAACGATTATGAGGATTACGATATTCGATACAAGGAAGGAGAACAGAAAACGGGAGGCTTTCTCTTTACTTATTCGTTGAGAGAGTGGAATGAAAGGTAGAAAAGATGAAGATGAAGATGAAGATGAAGATGAAGACGAAGATGAAGATATGATGGTAATTGGTAACACTGTTGCTAATATACAGCTTCAGACATTAAGTTTCGTACACTTTCAAACAAAGTTGAGCATAGAGTTGAATCAATCAATCAAATGAACAATTGAGCAGAGACAGTTAATATTAACTTTCACCAATAAATCATCAACAATCAATTGGTAATCAATAAATGATTAGGTTAACCACCAGGTAGTAGTTATATTAAATCAAAATTAATTGTAACACGATTAACTTTTGATTGTTGTTGTTTATTTCGAGCAGAATATTGTGTTCATCATTATCATTGATCAAATAACTCAGTTGCGTAGGAACTTTAATTGCAATCATTGCAACAATTATAATCAATATTTTAATTTTTCATTCTCATTTTGAGATTGTTGGTAAGCAAAATTAGATTACAAATTAACAATTAAAGTTAATCTCATCATCCAATCCATCTAAGGAAGTAGATTAACCTTTTAATTATTATTTGTTGCAAATCAAATTTAATCCACTTCTGATAATTAAATTGTAATAATAAATAACAACTAACAGCTAACTAAAGTTGCAAATAAAATAATAATTGTTGAGATATTGAAACAAACTATCAATTGGATTTACAGATGAAAACTTTAATTACAATCCGTTTGATTAAAATATTGACAGTAAAAGTTAATTGTGGTTATTTGTATTACAAGGACAAATTAACAAATTTCTAGTTGATTGTCAAACTCTTCGTTATTCAACAATCATCATCATCTTCATTCAGATCAGTACTTCCAATGTAATGATGATGATTAAGAATCATGAACGTGTTAAGCCAAACCACACGTTTCAATTGTGAACAATCAAATCTAATGAAGATTTGAAACTACAGTATCTCTTCAGCTGAAAAGATGAAGAGAGAAAGAAAGAAAGAGATGACAAGAGAAAAAGTTCATCTTCTTCCTCTTTCTTTACTGTTTTTATCGTCATAAAGTTAAGAGTAATTTCCAAGTTTCAGGAAGAATGAATTTACCTGTAAAAAGAATAGAAGAAAGAAATTATTAAAAACAATTTAAAAATAAGGGATAAATAGTGAAGATGTAGACTTATAATTGGACCAAATAATGATGAGGATGATAATGATGGTAAAGAAAAAAGGTAATTCCAAAGTTACCTGAGTGAGTATCTTATATAAGTGAGAGTTAAAGGTGAAGATGAATGTTAACTCATCATTTTGTAGTTGTTTCTATTCATACCTTGTAACTTTCATAGACTCTTGAAGATAATCAGAAAAAGAAATCAAGATGCTAAAGTCTTTTCTTTACATTATCATCATCATCTTGTTGTTTTCTCGTTCTTTTTCATCTGATGATCAATTTCTTGCTCACTAAAACCAAGATAACTTAATCCTCTCCAGTATCTTATCAATCCTTTTTTTGGTAATTACTTTTCCCTTAAGATGATGATGAAGATGTTTAATTGACAAGAGATGAATTGATTGATCAATAGGAGTTTTTTGTTACCAAATCGGGTAACGATTAGCATCCTCTTGATCAATCAATTACTCTCTTGTCAGTTAATCATATCAATTCGATAATCTTGATTGTTAAAAATATGTACAAGAAAAAATCTCACAATCAATAATATGAGAATCAACAAAACACCAGAAAAAAGAAACACAATTAATTGTTGTAACTATCGGGTGATGATTATAATTAACAAATAAAATATCATTGTGAAAGTGAAAAAGGATAATAATTAATTGATCTTGAATTTTAATCATTCCATGTCCTTGAATTAGTGATATAATTGTGATTAGATAATTATTATTGTTTGACAATTAACAAACCATGCATTTCAATTCAATTTCAATTCAAATTGATTCGCTTCAATCAACATCATCACCTTAATTAATACAAGTTCATGAATCATATAAACATCCTAATTGCAATTAGAATCCATGCAAATCCTAGCGATGATTAAACCAATAAATCAAATTGTAAAAAAAAGTAATAATTATTCTGATAACGATTCTGATGAAGATTTTGATGATGATTCTGGTGTTGACTCTGATAATGCCTCTGGTGATGAATCTGATGATGCTTCTGGTGATGCTTCTGGTGATGCTTCTGGTGTTGACTCTGATGATGCTTCTGGTGAAGATTCTGATAAAAAATTACCCTCAAACTCATTTCGTTTGGCTGTATACAAAAATAATTTTAAAGAGAAAGAGAGTCAGGGTGGGGTGAGTTAATTAGATCAAGACAAAAAAGGGATTAGGATTACAAAAGGGTACGAAAGGGTTTCGTTGTAACGGAGAAATTAGGAAGAGATAATTTATCTGCGATTCTCCCGATAACCATTGACAATTATTACAAATAATCAATTTTGATTAATCTTGATTTTCTTTCAAATAGTTACAATTAGTAATTAATTATCATTTACATAATTATTAATGCTTATTGGTAATTGTTTCCAATTGATTTTGTCTGGACGATGAAACAGCCAAAAAGTTGGTGACTGTTAATGTAAACAATTAAATTGTGTTTACATTTTCATTGATAATAAAAGTGCTAATTTAATTAATACTTTTCTTAATTAGCTCATTAACTAAAATAATAACTTTGAGCGTAATTAGAATCGATACTCAATCAATTACTATTTGGACGGAATGTGAGTTTCTGTTAAATTGTGATTCCTTTCATCATTTGATTGATGATTAGTGGTGATGATGATGATGATTTGGATTAATGAGTTTCTTTAGTGAAATATTGTGTTGATGATGATTAAGAATGACTTTGAATCTCATTAATCTCCCATCTTTTTTTCATGGGGATGATGATTAAAAGGTATTGTGATAGGCAATTAGAGAGAGAGAGAGATGAAGATGAGGATGATAAAGTGAGTGAGTTAATTAAACTATTTGATTTGAGTTAAACTCAAAGGTGTGATTCATGATAATAACCAGGTGAGGGTTCAGCTACATGTTCAGGTGAAGTGTAAGGGATTAGGGAAATCGGGTGGATGGATTAAGGGACCAGGTCTCCTTGGTTTACGTCGATAGGCCATAAGCCAACATGAGATGGCAAAGGTCAGCGTCTTCGAGCCTTTGATCTTCCAAAGATGCTGATAGTTGTGGATCACGTTTCTCAAAGGTAAGAATAGCATTCGATTGGACCATTATCTCCTCTCGAAGGGCACCTTCTTTGAATGCATCAGCTAATAGAACTTCATCTTTAACACCACGACGACGACGTTTACCATAAGCATCGACACCATCACAGTTAACCGGTGGACTAGAACCAAAGCAAACACGAATGTTAGGTATCGAAGTCGAGGTTGGAATCGTAGGTTGTTATTTGACGGGAATTTAAAGGCGTTAAAACGAGCCATCAATTGTTTCTTATGAGTATCATATTCCCAGTTACCGAATATCGATGGATCGGTAGCACACCCATTCGCATAGGTCACTTCGTATTGGAATTCACCTTCATCTTCCATTGTTTTGGCCACACAACTACGAGCAAATCCACCGTAAATAACTGGATTAATTAATCGAGAGAGAGAGAGAGAGAGGAAAAAAAGTACAAATTAGTAAACTTATTCAACGGAAAAATGATCTCAAAATGATAATATTCAATTCCAACTTACAATCGGGTTGAACGTCGACCTTGAGTAGTAAATCGTCACCAATCTGTGCGGAAATGACCTCTTTACCACCAATTGAGGTGATGGACATTAAACATGTCGGCGGTGGTCCAGTCTTGGCAATTATTCCGGAAGTTGTTATCATGGAAACGTTGAAGCCAAGAGTTACCGTCCATTCACCGGGATATTAAATTGTCTCCTTTCCTCACTGAGGTAGAGAGAAGATAAAAAAAGAATAATAGGAATTAGTGAATGGCCGTGAATTAGGTGTAATCATCACAGAGCAAAGGAGAAAGAAAAAAAGATTGGTCTTTACATGTAAAATACTTGAATCATTGAGCACAGTTTATTTGGATTACCCTCGAAACCAGATGGACAAGAACAAGAGACAATGTGATTAGATGTTGAGCAAAGTGCGTTTGCACCGCAACGATTTTCATCTCGAGTTGTACAAGGATCGAAACATTAGAGAAATCACATTTCTTGGTTGATAGACAATCTTGGTCACCTGAACATCCCGGTGGTTCTTTGGACATTAAGGTACAACCATCTCGATAAGGATCTTCACCTTGATAACCAGCGGCACATCGACACTCATAAGTACCAAGTCGATTAACACAAGAGGCATGAGGACCGCAGATATTTTTCTCGTTACACTCGTTGATATCATCGCAAACACCATCAGGACGAAGGGTAAACCCTCGAGGGCAAACACAGAAACCCGATTCGGTGCCCGAATAGATACATTCTTGATTATCTGGACATGGATTGGTTGTTGAACAATTGTAACTATTAATAAATCGTACACAATAATCGAGAACCCGATTAAATTCAAGAGGACAACCACACCGATGATCACGAAGACAGGCCAAATTACCTGGACAACCCGAATAGGTGACACAATCGGCAATGGGTCGACAAATTTCCGCTGGATTACCAGAGAAACCAGGTCGACATTTACATTTTCGTCGATGTCCCTCCATGTAACAAATGGCGTTTTGTCCACATTTGTTAGAGGTTAAACAAGAATCGACATTCAAATTCAATACATGAACGATCACCCGGACAATCAGAATCATGGAAACAATGTTTCAATCGTTGTTCAGTTAAACAACCAGCGACAAATGGATCACCTAAAGTACCAGTTGGACAGCGACAATCGTATGAACCAAGTTTATTCATACACTTAGCACCAGGCCCACATGGGAAAGCTTTTTCCTCGCACTCATTGTAATCCCGACAAGTACCTTAAAGGGTCATCATGAAACCCTTTGGACAAGCACAATAACCAGTTTTATCACCTTGACCATCATAGATGCAGGTTTGATCTTTTGGACAGGGATTCGTTGTGGTACAATTAAGACTTGAAAGGACACAGAAAGATGACCTCTGCTCGTATGGATAAGGACAACCACAATATTGCTCAAGGCAAAGTAAATTACCTGGACAATCAGAGGGCAATGAGCAGTAATCACGAATTGAACATTCAACATAAGGATTTCCCCGATGTCCAGGTAAACATTCACATTCGGCTTTGGAGTTTAATGATCGGCATAAAGCACCTTTACCACATATTCCAGATTTAGTACAAACATCTAGAGAAATTAGGAAAAAACAAAAAATCAAGAGGAAAGAAAATTGATTAATAGATTATTAGTCGAATTAAAAATTTCGTCAACAATTAACTTACCATAACATTCTTGGGTTACATTTTTGATCGTCTTTACAATCAGCATCATGGAAACTGTAACATGTGTGATGAGACAAAGCGCCCAACGGAAGAGCTGTTGTAGAAAATGATCAACCTCCTTCAACTGGTGCTTTTTCAGATGGACTGAAAAGGAAACACATACATATTCAGAATTTACTTAGAATCTAAAAATAGAAGCCAATACAAGACAATTTAAAGAAAAAAAAATCACAATTCTAACCTTAAAAATGAGGGTGAATTTGGACTTTGGGCTGAACGGGAGTTGGTGCATCTTTTATGTGAAGGCTCAGGTTCCAATGTTGCATTCCGGCGGCAGAAGTTGTTGTAGACCATGTTGAGGTTGACATTCGTCGTAATACACTAGGGGGAACATTTCGTCTTCCTCGCTAATTAATTATAATAGAGAAAAAAGAGAAACTGAAAAGATAAACAATAAACGAACAAAAACCGATTAAGTCTATTCATACGCCAGATGGAATTGATATTATCAGATGTTTGTATCCGATTCTATCGATTCCTAACTAATTTAATTTAATTTTTAACAATTGTTTTTTAACTATTGTTTTTTAACTATTGTCTTGTTTAACACAAGTTTTTTCAATACTTTTAAATAAATCTGATTATTTACGTACGCAGATTACGTACGAATGTCTCTTCCACAAAAACCAACATCGATCAACAGAAAATTAACCTTAACTTTATTTCGAATTCAATAGATGGCGCTAGTATTGTTCGTTTTCTGGTTTGTTCTTTTTCTTTCTGATTGTTGTTACTTTTACCCCTTTTCTTAATTACAATTAACTTAATTTCACTTACTTTACTTTATCATTTACCATTGTTTCAATTGTTGTGTTAGATGATATTATGGTATAATTTGTGTCATCTTTTTCTTGGCTTTATCCCCATCAACCAACACCTACCCATCACAACCATTATCTTAAGGATTAACATCTTCATCTACAGTGAAAAAAGCACCACCACTGGATCTGTATAATTACCTTACGCTTCTGTTATTAACATTGAAGCCTCGTCTTGTTCAGAGCCGAAAAGCATGGGTACATTTTGATTATCTTCAATATGATTAGCGTGATTAACCATTGGTGGATTAGGAATTAACTTGGTTCCATAAACTGGTAGAAAAGCTGTAATTTCTGAAGCTCCGATTCCATTGATTTCCTTTGAAATTTGAGCTTGTACCAGATCATCAGTTGATACTTTCTTCAAACAATCAATTGTCTCCATTGACAATTTTAGTAGAAGAATTTAATTCATCACCAACACTTAAACAATTAACCTTTCGTGCCAAGAATTTAGTCTTCATAGTACCAGTTTCATGGGAATCCATGTGAATTTGATTAGTCGCTGATCCACTCATCATAATTAATCGTGAATACAATGGCTAAACTTGAGATTATTGAAACCATTTTGGATCCCGCACTTAGACCAGTTAATGTTACACGATCAGGATCTCCACCAAATGACCTTATATTATCGTGGATCCATTTTAGTACCATAAGGGTATCATAAATGCCGAGATTACCTGGCATTTCATCATGTTCACCAAAAGCAAATCTAAAAGCTCCAAGTCGATAATTTGAATTAACAACAATAATCTTCTGAGTCGTAGTCAAGATTCACCCTGAAAATCCGGCATTGATCCTGGACTTGAAGTATTTCCAGACCCATGAATATGATAAAACACCGGCAACAGGACTTTTGAGCACAACCATCTCGAAAATAAGTGGCCTGATATGGTTTTAACCAAGTTGAATTAAAATACTCTGGTAATTGGAATCGTTTAATTCCCAACGGTGGCTCAGCAAACGGAATACCAAGAAAAGCTTGATAATTATATTGGAAATTAGTTAAATTGTAAAATCCATTCAAACCTTACCAATTAACCACCAGATTACTATTTTATTGATTTTCTTCCAGAAAAATGGAAAGTTTCCTTTTTCCATGAGAGAGAAAAAAAATTCATGATAACCACACACTTACTCATCATCATCATTCTCATCATCTTGTTATCATCTGAAGCTGTTGTTATTGTGGCTTAGGATGAAGATGAAGAGGTGAAATTTCATTTCATGTTAGTGACACTGATCATCATCATCATGTAAACTGAATATTTCGTTGCCATGGAGAATTTTTCTTCCTTCATCATCCTTGCATTTTCTTCTTCTTTTAGTTTCCTTCTGCTTCTTGTTATATAATAACAATTCCTTCCCATTATGATGATGAAATTTACTCTGATTATCAAACCATGATTATGGTAAAAATCAATTGCCATGGATCAGCTGATTACATGGAATAGCAAAAAATTGAATGAAACTTTGTCTGTCAAATTACATCTCAAATAAGAATCAAGTTAATTGTTACAATTACATAAAGAAAGAAAGTTCCAAATTCTATATTTTCAATAACATTATCATGAGAACGATTATAATCACCATCATCATGAATATCCATTGAATACCATGAAAATGCTTCTCTCAGCTAATAGTTTTACTAGAGAGAATCCCTTTTCTTACTCTCTCTCTCTCTCTTTCTTCCTCTTTTTATCTCTCAGTCATTTCTTCATCTTCACCATCAACTCAATGAGAAAGATATAAAGTCCAGTTGTATTGAAGGAAAATTATCTGAATGACATTAGTTCTGATTAACATACTAATAGGTACAATTTGCATAAGATTGTGGTTCATTCTGAACAAAACAAAAACTACTCAATGTGATTATTATTAGAAAGTGTTATATCTTTGAATTAATGTCATTCCATTCAGATTCTGATAAGATTGATTATCTATCTTATTTTGTGATTGTTCAAATATCAGCAAAGATAAACAACTTAGCCCATAGGAATATGTAAATTATCAAGTTAGTTGTACAGCCACGGACATTAAGTTTCGTACACTTTCAATTAAAGTTGCGCATAGAGTTGGTTATCTTATCAATTTTATTTATCAATTTCATTTAATCAAAATCTTGTTGGAAAACCATCTTGCTCTATTACATCTTGCAGTCTTTCGGGTAGTGAATCAACAAAGGACTTGAAATAGTCACAATTATTTTTTTTTTGAGTCCCAATTTAGCTTAATATTCAATTTCATTTCATCAATAGAATCAATTGAACAATTAGAATATAAAAATTCATATTTAAGATCACCTTAAACGTTTTCAATAGGGTTGAGATCAGGAGAGTAAGCGGGTAGGCTCAAAAGCGTTACATTGATCTGATGTAACGCATTTGCACATTCAAACCATTCACGAACTAACGAAGATCGATGAGCGGGACAATTGTCTTCAACCCAAAAGCATTCGTTAGTCCCAAATCTTTCCTTAATTAATTCAACACCAACCGTGTCCAAAATTTCTACATAAGTTTGTCCGTTAAGCCTCGAATCAAGAAAAACGAATGGACCTAATCCTGAATAAGCTGCTGCTCCCCAAATTGAAACAATTTTACGGCCACAATGATCAGATTGATTAACATAACTTTCGTTATAACGACAGTTTCTAGGCCTTTTGACTAGTTTTATTCCATCTTTTTCACTACTGAAACAACATTCGTCAACGAAGATACACTTCGTCCAATCGAACGATTCGTGAACCATTGCGAACTCAACTCTTCGTTGACGATGCTGAGTCTTAAGCTTAGGCTTTGTAGCCGCATGGTGAGTCTTATAGCCTTCTGATCTCAAAAACCTATTGACCGTTCGGGGCGTTACAATTGAATCTAATTCGTTGTTAATTTTAGTAGAGGGTTTAAACGGATCTTCGATCGTTTTCAAAAGAATCGACTCTTTTAGATGGCCATTCAATATGAAAGGCCTCTTACAGTTAGAGTAAAATGTGTTCAAATGTCCACGTTGATTGTATCTCATCCTCCATCCTTGAACCGTTGATGCTGGTAAGTCCAGTTCACTAGCTATCTCTCTGACACTGAAACCTTGTGATGTTAAATCGATGATTTTTAAACGCAGATCATTTTCTAGAGCCCTGGGCATCACTTCAAGATTTAATTTAAACTAAATTAACCAAAACAAAACAAATCAAAATGTAAATAAACCTAATAATCAACAATAGATTATGAAATTTTATCAATTTTGATTAGATAACCAACTCTATGCGCAACTTTAATTGAAAGTGTACGAAACTTAATGTCCGTGGCTGTATATTCAACAGAAAAACAATAACATCAACATTAACAATCAGTAATATTAATTGTCGACAATTATTATCAACTCGCAAACTTGATAACAATTTAAAATCCATTGAGAAACACTTTAAGAGAGTAAATTTTCAAAGGACATCAGGCATTTTTGACTGTTTTTAGCCTAAACTTTTTTAAGTGATTTTATTTAATTTTTGAGCTTATGAGTTAAAACAAATCAACACGTATTTTTTAATTTTTTGATCTGACTCGCGGATTTCGTAAAATTCACCAAAAAAATTGCAAATATATATTTTTCTTAAAGAACAGCTCAAGAGCTTTCGTTTGATACCAAGATTAGCTATATAAGTATATTAATTCGATCACATAACAATTCAGACCATTTTTCCGTTTTTGGTGAATTTTACGAAATCCGCGAGTCAGATCAAAAAATTAAAAAATACGTGTTAATTTGTTTTAACTCATAAGCTCAAAAATCTCAAAAACTGAAAAAATTTTCATACTTTAATTCTAAGGCAAAAAGGCCTGATGTCCTTTCACATTTCGATAGACCAAATAATCAAAATTAATCGTTTATTTAATGATAATCAAAGTTTTCTCCATGTTTATTATTGGAAAGGTTTCCTTTAATTCAGTTGTTAACTTATCATCTTTTTTTACTATCTATCCATGGTCATCATGAATGATAAATAATGATAACTGAATTGATATGAGAGAAAGAGAGAGAGAGAGAGAGAAGGTGATTTGTAAACCTCATTGTGTATAGTATATTTATGAACATTAATAATCGAATATCAAATTACCCTGATGATGTTGAGTTTTCGAAGGGGAAAATGGCGGAATGAAACTTGGAAAAATATTAATAAGTTGAATTCGGTGTTTCTTTCTGTCTATGAGAATTCTGGTAAACACTCACAGGAGAAAATGAAAAATTAGTTCGACAATGAATCAAAGTATCTAAATGTTATCCTATTTACTATATTATGTATATTATTCCATTTTACCATGTATGCATAATTTTACATTCTCCATGGTGATTCTACTCTTAACATTTCGGTTAGAGTTCTAAGAGAAAAAGGTGGATATGATAGATAGTAGGGAGAGAGATAGAGAATTGAACCATTAGTATAATTTGAAAATTAAAATTATTCTTTATTTTGAATCAGAATTTCTGATTCTCGGTGAGTTATCAGAATTTCCAGAAAAGGGAGAATAAGAGAGTTTAAAGTAAATTCTGTGTTGTTCATGTTCATCTTAATTTTCTTCTTCTTGGAACTTTCTCTCTCTCTCTCTCTTTCTCTCTGAATTTTTATTCTTTCTAATCAAATCTCTTTTTCCTCTAATTCTTTTCCCATGAATATATAAAAGAATTACAAGTTTAATCACAGATTTCAATTCCAGGGGAAGAAAATAAACAGATAAATATTCAGCTACGATTGTTATACCTTCATTAATGAACAACTTTAACAAGATGATTGAAATTAACGCTCTGAGAAGTTCTGAGATTCTCATTGAACTTTCTTTTCTCGTTCCACTTACAAATTTCGATAATTGTCTTCCAATGAGAGAGAAAGAGAGAGAGAGAGAAACTCAAACAACTCAATTAATGTTGACAGTAAATTAAATGTAATCGTAAACAGAAAAGATTCAAAATATTCAACTTCGATGTATAATGAAAGTGGGAGGGGCTAAGGTCATAAAAAATTTTTCACATATACATGCGACTATGAACATGTTATATATTGGTTTTCAGTTCGATCGAAGATGTATGTGTATAGTTATAAAAGGGTGAAATTAGTCAAAATATTATTTTACATATATTCGCTGATAGACGTGATAGATTTCATTCAAAATTTCTCAGAATTATTTTCAAGGTCAAAAAATTATTCAAGGTCATTTTTGGATGGATCACATAACAATTATTCTCCAATTTTATTTAATTAGATCTTACTATATTATTGGTATTGTAATTGTAATTCGCGCCTTTTTGGTTCATATCAGTGACACCAGGTGGCGTCACTTCTGCTGATTTGAGGGAGCACCCTGAGTGAGCAATATTTTCGGGTATTTAAGCTGTTGCAAATTTATTTTTCTTCATTTTATTCTTGCTTTCTCTCGCTCTCACTTTCACTTTCACTTTCACTCACACTCACACTCACATTCACACTCACACTCACACTCACACTCACATTCACACTCACACTCACACTCACACTCACACTCACACTCACACTCACACTCACACTCACACTCACACTCACACTCACACTCACACTCACACTCACACTCACACTCACACTCACACTCACACTCACACTCACACTCACACTCACACTCACACTCACACTCTCACACACACTAACACTTACATAATGTCTGCGTGGAGCAGGACCTGGTTGGAGCAGCGAGTTCTCCGAACTAAGGAGGAGGCGATTGCGTGGGCTCAATCGGCCGGACTCCTCCTTAGTTCGGTTCAGTGCCGACAGCACCGTGCTCCTATGGTGTTTTACCCTAACAGAGGGCCCTTTGGGTCATTTCGGTGCCCAAAGCATGCGAAACATCGCAGCTCTGAACCTTCTGAGGTGAGTGCGGCGTCAGGGTCGATTTTCGAGGACTCGAAATTGCCCCTTGACAAAGTACTTCGCCTCATGTTTGAGTGGAGCTGCGATGCTTCATATGAGGTGACCCATAGAGAGACCGGTGTGAGCTCCCGAACCACGGCCGATTGGTACCGAGCCATCCGGGAATCAATCACCATGGCCTTTCTTCAAGACCAAGATGATCGGGGGAAAATCGGTGGGCCTGGCTGCGTGGTTCAGGTGGACGAAGCCAAGTTTGGGCGTCGGAAGTACCACCGTGGCCGGACCATCGAGGGTCATTGGGTCTTAGGTATGATACAGGACGGCTCCCAAGATCTACGCTTGGTAGTTTGCCCTGGAAATTCTAGGACCTCAAAGACCCTTACCCCGATCATCGTAGACCATGTGGCCGATGACACCACCATGGGTATGAGCATCATTGGGTCAACCATCAAGAGAACTTTGTTAATCCAAGGAATGGTGCTCATACCCAAAGGATCGAGTCCTGTTGGCGTCCGGCGAGAGTCTTCTTCAGGGACCGGAGAATACCTGAAGAAGATTTCGCAGACCACTTAGTTGAATACCAGTGGAGGCGTTGGTCTTCAAAAAGTGGTCTCCAGCCATTCGAGGCACTGGTCAAAGTGGTTCGGGATGCTTGGCCACTTTAAGACACTGCTCCAACCTTGTAATAATTCCTAACCTAACCTATTAGTTGAAAAATCCTGACCTAACCTAAACGTTGCTAAGTCCTAACCTAACCTATTGGCTAGTAAAGTCCAACCCTTCCTCCTCGTGGTACTAGCTGGTTAACGCTAACAGGGCTCTGGCAGTACTGATAGAATAATGATTCAAGTATATGTATACCACTTAAACATGTATGCACGCGCGGCAAATTTTTTTGCCCCTCCCCTCCCCTCCCCCAAAGTGGGTGTGGCCGCTAGCGGTTAGGTTAGGTTAGGTTAGGTTAATTTTTTAATTTTAATTTTTTAATTTTAAAGAGTTCCACCGTCCGAAGACGGCTTCACGGTTTATTATAAAATAAAAATCGCATTGGTGTGACGCAAATGCGTCATACAGGAGATCCTTCCCATTTTCCGGAAGGAATATCGCATGTGCGTTTTACAAAAGGGGCATTGTTTGAGAGAGAGTTGCGTGTGTGCGGAAGGTGGGGTGTTGGATATATAAATTGAGTCGCTTGTGCGACTTGGCAGTGTAATGGATGGTTGCTGGGTTGTTTACAGTTGCCGATGCGTATGTGGGTTCGGGTTTGCGGAATTGGGTTTGTGGGAGAATTCCTATGTGGGTGGCGTATTTGCGTTTTTTGGGAAGGTTTACAGTTTTGTGGGGTGACAGATTTTCTGCGCGTGTGCGTTTGGAGTGGAACAAGGCTATTCGGGAGTACAATTATTGGGGCTTGAAATCGTTTGCATATGTCGCAATAGCGTTTTTCATTCTTGTGAGTGCGTCTTTGTATATGGGGCATCCATTTGAGAGACTATTGTGTCCGCGTACTTGGCCTGATCCTCCGTAAACGGGGTGTTTCTCGCAGTTGCGACAACGATGTTGCATTGGGTCGTTTGCGTGTTGGCAGTCGTTCACGGTGTGATTGCTAAGGCAGTTTCGGTTAGGTTAGGTTAGGTATAACAATCGTAGCTGAATATTTATCTGTTTATTTTCTTCCCCTGGAATTGAAATCTGTGATTAAACTTGTAATTCTTTTATATATTCATGGGAAAAGAATTAGAGGAAAAAGAGATTTGATTAGAAAGAATAAAAATCCAGAGAGAAAGAGAGAGAGAGAGAGAGAAAGTTCCAAGAAGAAGAAAATTAAGATGAACATGAACAACACAGAATTTACTTTAAACTCTCTTATTCTCCCTTTTCTGGAAATTCTGATAACTCACCGAGAATCAAATTCTGATTCAAAATAAAGAATAATTTTAATTTTCAAATTATACTAATGGTTCAATTCTCTA